GCCCCGCCGCCCGTCTCCCGGGGAGACGGCGCCGAGGCGGGAGCTGCCAGGCGGAAACCCGAGGGGGGCGCTGGGGGTTCCTGCCCGCGGCGGAGCCCGGGCGGCCCCGGGAGCCCTGCCCGCCCTCCCCGCCCCCAGCGCGGCTGCCCCGCGCCGACCACAGCCATCTGCACCTCCCGTAAACCGGTCGCCGAGGCGATGTTTGCGGAGTGGCATGGCGGGCGCGTTGTCGATGGGCACTGGCAGTCCTCAGATGGACGTGGTCTGTTATCTGAGAGAGAAGAGAGGCGAGGGTGGGCGTAGCATGCGACTGAAGTTGTTTCCAGGGGCAGGATGCGTTTCCACCGCTGCAGAAGGCTGATACGGAGCCTCTGGTCTTGAGTCGGTGAGGTCTGGCGATCCGCTGCAGCTTTCCCTTAGGCGGGGTCTCTTCCCGCACGCCTGCCCTGTGGGGATGGGCCACGGGCCGCCGCCCGAGGGTGGCCGGCCCCAGGCCGCAGGCCAGGCGCGGGGCGCAGTTCCGGCGGAGGAGTGCCGTGAGGGACTCCACTCCTCGCTGCCTTCTGCCCGTCGTGCGCCTTCAAACGCGATGCCGATGCTTCTGGTTTCAACCCCAAAGGAAGTTTCAGCCTGACCGTATTTAGGAAACATGCTTTTAGGTTCCTGCGGTAATCCACTGCAACGGTGGGGGTGAGCCACCGGTCTCTGCACAGGGAGCGCCGGTCCAAGACCTCTGGCTCCTGGCCTCTTACGTGACATTGGTTCAGATGCTTTGTTTTGTTACGGTGCTTTTCCCTTGCTCGTATCCGTCCTTCACATGAAAATACTGGTACTTCCCAACACAACATTAGTCCGTATGTTGCTGGACTGTTTGCGCTGCTGTAATAAAAGTAATTATAAGTCTCTCGTAGTTCAGTTCCCAGTTTGACGTGACTGCTTCCACAAAGATATCATCAGAATTAATAAAACAATTATTATAAAATTATTATTTGTGTTTTGCAATTGCAGGTGCTTAAGGAGTAATCATAATGATATATTTGGGCTAACTGAAGCCTGCCTATAATGGAAGCTTGATGAGTGTAGGATTTCCCTTGGCGGGTTTCCAGGGTCTCCCTGTGATTGCCAGTCCTTGCAGTGAGCACTATGCTATGAAAAACCAGAGAGCTGTGTACGAACCTGGTGAGCACAATTCTCATAGAAAGTGAGGCTGGGGGGAACTCCAGAGGGGAAAGATCAATTCTACCTCCATCATTCTTGACAGATGATTGTACAAGCTCTTCTTAAAACCCCATGAATTCCCTAGCTGATCCATTCCAGCGATACCACTTCTCTGGTACTGTCTTGAAACAATTTTTTCTGTATCTGAGCAGAGTCTTTCTCATTGCAATTTATATCCATTCTCAGTAGACATGAGAACAGTTTGCTTTCCTCTGCAGCTACTTTTTGCACACTTGTGTAGCATTATGATTCTCTCAAGATTTCACTAGACTAAACAATTAAGTGTTTTCAGGTTTTCTCTCCCAGGTCATAGTTTCTAGATATCTGAGCATTCTTAATGCTTTCCTCTGGCCTTTCTCCAGTGAGTCCACACCTTTCTTGAAGTCCCCAAACTGGAAATACTACTCCCTAGGAGGACTGACCACTGCTACTCTGTGGGCAGGAAGGATTAATTTGTATCTAACACATAATATTTATATATATCTATATAGTGTCTGCTTTTTTGTCACTAGCCTGACCCTGTGACTCACACTGTGACACATGATAACACTTAGATCCATTTCTGAACAATTACTTGTCATTTATGGTACAGAGTTCTTAAGAAACACTACATTTGTCCTTACCAAATGGTGATAATGATCTTACCTCTTGAACTGGGAAATACTAAAACATCTGGCTTTACAGACATGATGCTTTTATTATGTAGAAGAATGTTTCTGGTGACTTGTACATTTGTTAAAAACAATTAATTATAAATATTTTACTCTTCTAAGGCTGATTAGCCATAGCATCATCAAATCACAGGCACCAAAATACAAACATGGTGAAAAAAGTTTTAATGTTCAGAACAAGTGAGAAGGTGCAATCATATGTAATTCTTTGGCTAAATTGATGTCAGCATCTCTTAGTCTGTGAATCTCTGGTAAAGAGAACTTGTTCTATGGTCAACTAACGCAAAACACCACCAAGCTTGATGTCTGGAATCACCTCAATATCTTTCCTTCATCAGAAGGTGCATATGGTCCTAGAGACAGGCATTGAGGGAACAGTAGCATTAGCTTGCTACTAATTATTTTTCTAAGTTGAAGCTACAGCTTCAATTCTGCAGGTCACTAGGAAGATGTATGCTTTCCCTGAAGAGCTTTACCCTACATTGCCTTGATTCTGCCTAGAAACTGTAAGAAAAGTGGCTCTGGAGCAGGTGTAGCTTCTGTATACAATCCAAGTGAATCACATTAGTGATACATGAAACCCCAGTAAACATTTCCATAGTGTAAGACAGGGATTCTTCTCTCATATAAACAGACACAGCTTTTTTAAACTTGTCATGGTTTAACCCCAGCTGGTGACTAAGCACCACGCAGCTGCTCACTCACTTCCCTCCCCCTGCAGTGGGATGGGGGAGAGAAATGAGGAAAAAAAAAGATAAAACTCGTGGGCTGAGATAAGAACAGCTTAGTAGAACAGAAAGGAAGAAAATAATAATGATAACAACACAATAATAAAATGACAATAATAATAAAACGATTGGAATATACAAAACAAGTGTTGCACAATGCAATTGCTCACCACCTGCTGACCGACGCCCAGTTAGTTCCCCAGCGGTGATTCCCCCCAGCCCCACTCCCCCCAGTTTATATACTGGGCATGATGTCACATTGTATGGAATATCCCTTGGGTCAGTTGGGGTCAGCTGTCCTGGCCGTGTCCCCTCCCAACTTCTTGTGCCCCTCCAGCCTTCTTGCTGGCTGGGCGTGAGAAGCTGAAAAATCCTTGACTTTAGACGAAACATTACTTGGCAACAACTGAAAACATCAGTGTGTTATCAACATTCTTCTCATACTGAATCCAAAACATAATACTATACCAGCTACTGGGAAGAAAATTAACTCTATCCCAGCTGAAACCAGGTCAAAAGTCTATGGAGCTTTATAGTTTTTAATATAAATTATATATACAGTTTAAATTGGACTAAGATCTTCGCCTCATCATAGCTGCCTTTACGACAGTTTACTCTCTTTTCCTGGCATTTGTAAAAATATAGTCCAACATATCTTCTTATCATAATGATTTTAATAAAGCTATAGTAATTTCAAAGTAATTCCAGTATATATCAATTCTATAAAATGTGGGGTAAAATCATATACTGCAGAATATGAAATCCTTGCAAACTTTTTAAAAAATCTTCTGTCAGTAATTCCTAACCTGAACCAGAAGCTAAAAGAAGTTGTCCTTTTTAGCATTTCCCTATTTAATTCTTCTGATAAGGGCTGTTATACTACCTTTATAAAACACGCTGACAAAGGCATTTTTTGATAGAGAAATTGAAAACCTGCTTTGTGTTTGTACTGCTCCCTGCCTGCATTTGACAAAAATCTGCCATCTTGTGGCCACAATCGTGTAATACTGTTGCACAGAAAAGTTAGGGCGGCATCTGTTAACTGCTTGTGAGAAAAACAACCTTTTCTCAAGGACTTACAAAACTTCTTCATGTAAAGTACCATTCTGATTTTGTGTTTCTTTCTGTGTTATTAAATGTGAACTACTTGTGCAAAATGGGTATGAGAACAGAAGTAGATGGCCAGTGTGTTTCCATTGTTGATTTAATTTTTCATTTTCTTTCCCTCTTTCCTTCTTTCTTTCTTTCTTTCTTTCTTTCTTTCTTTCTCTTTCTTTCTTTCTTTCTTTCTTTCTTTCTTTTTTTCCAGGCCATGGTCCCCTAATGCTGGTTCAGTCTCTGCTTCCCTCCTGAAACAATGCCGACTAATGCCTTCCAAGAGGCATTGTGGCCGCGCCTGACAGCATGTTCTCTTCAGGGACCAGTGCAGCCAAAAAGTGTAATACGAGTCACATGAAGTTTGTCTGTCTCCACCTGGGACAGTCTTCCAGTGTTATCCTGGTAAGCCATATACCCCCAAAGGTCTTTGTGCCTTGGCCATGCAACATACAACCTCAGTATCATGCTATTTAAATGGCACTGTGGCCGGCTGCCACGGGTATTTTGAACTAAAAAGCCATAAACATTTTTGATAGTTGTATGTCAGAATCAGAAAGGCAGCGTGTGAGGCTTCGAGGAGATAAAGGCTTAGTGCTAAGCAGTGTGTACATACTTTTCTCCTTGATGAAGTCTACAGGGATAAACGTGGTCTGTTGTGCAGACAGTATGAGCTGCAGTAGTAGACAAAATACTTACTGTGGAAGAGGAACTAGAATCACCCTGTACTCTTCCAAGATCTGTACTGCTAAAGGACAAATTAAATGGCAGACCCTGGGGTAAAAATGATCTGATTTTAGAAGGTAACTGAAACAAGCACTTTGTAACAGTCTTTAGAACTAGTATCTTTTTAGTATTGAATAAAAAATGCTGTCCATGGGAATGTTCAGTGGGC